GGCCTGAAATCACAGGGCAGGCCACTTAGAAATAATGGTGACTTCTAATGTCAACACAGGACAAAAAGTGTTGCCTCCTGTGCACGCATGCAGCTTATTAGGTCATTATTGTCATGATTTTAAAAAAAAGGTAAAGCAGTGTCCTGATTGACGCTCAAAAGTTCTAGCATCTTCTATTTGAAAAAGCATGCCTGAAGATAATTTTCCATCCCTTAGCAGAAGAGAGTTGGGCCTTATTTACTTTTCACAATACTGCATTTCACATAGAATTGACACAAGGTTAGCTGTGATAGGCCTCGGTAATTCTGTATGGTAAGATGGGTCTTGGTTGACCTTCCCTTCTATGTGTCATTTCCTCCACCCTGAGTGGTGGAACAGGGATGACTGCAGCTAATCAGAGGAGAGCCTGTGGAAACAAAGGCCTACTTGCACTGGGGATCCTTAGCTGTCACCCATCACAACTCAGTTTCCTTGTCTGAAAATCTAAAATATCACAACAGTTTCACCCTTCAAGCGACCTGGGTGTTAAAGGCAGCACACGTGGAAAATTAATATCCTCCATTGTTTCCTGTTGAGATCAAGAAACACTACTGACTTGAACTGGGGGACCACACCTTGAGAAGTCAGTGCCTCTGAACACTCTACTCTAGGGCAACAGTTCAGCCAGTCAGAGAGTCACATCGGAGAGGCTCTCAGAGACTCCAAGGGAGCAGTGAAATCTGGGCTTCCAGTCACAGACTAGGACACTAACATTTTGATTGGCACCTGAGGGGACTTGCCTACAGTTTCCTAACTCAGGCATTCCTCTCTCCCACCCTCACTCTCTCCCTCACTTTTGTCTGCTCCCTCACTAAAATCCAGCCAATTGAATCTTAGTCTGGTGCACCTCACACTCAAAAGGTTATTACAACAATGAAATAATTCACCTGCGAGCCCAGTGAGCATATGTATACTCACTGAAAAGATCGCTGAAAGATCCAGATTCATCAGAGGGGTCAAAGGACATAGAACTCTAACCAGGAGCTTCCAGCCAATGAGGGCTCAGAGGGTTGCTAGAGCTGGCCATTCTTGCTCAATACAGGACACTTGCGACCATACCAGCAGCAGCCTTTGTCCTGTATGGTCTACCAGCCTGGCCAAGCCTTTCCCAAAACTGCACAAACAATCCATGTTTCTTTCCTTCCCTCCCTCCATCTCTCTCTTCCTCCCTCCTTCCCATCCCCCTCCCTCCCTTTTTTCCTGTTTTCATTTCTTCTTCCCTAAGAGATGTCCCAAAAGCTGAGGGTTTTCCCACCTACTCCACAGGGATTTCCCTTGCCCTTCTTACCCTGCCCTACCATCTCTCCCAGACGACCCAGGCTAGCCCAGAATATAAAGTGCTGACCATCAGGGGAACATCCCAGGAATGTAAGTTGTCACCACTATAATAAGCACCAGCTGAATAATCCACAGCCTCCCCCTAAGCAGAAGCTTGTGATAGCAGCCCTCAGGATGGCCTGGCCCCAGTGTCCTCAGAGGAACCTCAGGCCTTACCACCCCACATCTAAATATTACAACACATCTGCTTTTCCTAGTGCCACTGCTTGCTGGGAGAATTTCAAACCCTGAAAGACCGGAGAACTTCCATATTAGCTGGAGGCCTCTGCAACCCCTTGTCTCAGGAAGAGAACATGAGAGGCCCAAGGAACCTCTTAAGGGAATCTTCAGCGAGAGCCTTGGTTAAACAGTCTTTTCTGAAAGAGCTGTGCGTCAAGTCATTATCTTCTATCCACTGTGCTTTTGCCAGTGCCCTGGTTCATTTATTAGTCTTGGAGAGGGAATGACAGTCCAGGCAGTAAGAGACATGGGAAATTAATGACAACATGCACCGGCATGCAGTCCTCAGGCATGCCTGTGAGAGCGCATGGGCTGCTGCTCAGGGACAGGCCCCACAGCTGCTGTAGATGACAGCTGTAAATGGCACTCTCTGGAGATCTAAGAGGATGGTGCCAATCTGGTGGCCACAGCCTTTACAGAGGAGCCATGAGCACTGTAATAGCTTGTGATAAAGGCATTATTGATGCTTTGCTTAGCACTGTGGAGAAACAACAGTAATTAGGTGTCTCGTTAACACTGCTTTGGAGGCAATACTGCCTAAAGAACAGCAGGCTTGGTAAGGCCTAGGCCTATTTATAGGAAATCTCACTTCTCACCATACATTATAATAAAAATTGGCCAGAGATGGGGCCTCTGGGACTGGAAAAGTTCTATTTCTTGACTTGGGGGGGTATTTGTAACAGATTTTAGCCATGTGTATTTCTGAACTGGTTTTCTTTCAGTTAGAACTATTCAAAATTATAATACTAGTAAATCAAACTTTACCATTTGACAATCTGAGTAAAGACTAGTTATGTGTTTTGTATGTCACATTTTCCAACCACAGGCATGGGGTGAAGTTAATGCAGTATTATGACAGTATTTGTTTCTGCTGTTTGTAGCAGTGGTTCAGAAGCAAGTGGGAAATTATATTTTTAACTTGCAGCAATAGGTGTCTTTTCCCCAGGGTCCCCTAGGGAGAAAGAGGAATGGGTATAAGGAACACTTTCATTTAGGCAATTGGGATCTCACCTCTCTTTTGTCCTGCATTTTTGCTAATGGTTATTAGTCCCTCTTCTCCTGTATTTGTCATTTACATTTTCCCATGCTTTCTTTTTCTCTTGCATTTTTCTGTTTGACTCTACTCTTCAAAAGTATTTAATTATTTTTATTTTATATGTGTGAGTTTTTCCCTGAGTGTTGGTGCTGGGAACCAAAACCAGGTCCTCTCAAGGGCAGTAAGCACTCTTAACCACTAAGCTATCTCTCCAGTCCCAGCTTGACTCTACTCTTACACCATCCTGGTTGTCATTGCCCTCCCCCTTCATGGTCTATAGAACTTGAGAGGCATTTCTTATAGGTTTTATTTAACATTATGTTAGATTGCTTAATGTTTGTTAAGAATGTCTCTGGGATTGGCAATGGTGGCACATTCTTAAAATCTCAGCACTCAGAAGGTAAGTCAGAAAGTTAAAAGTTTAAGCCCAGGCTGGGCTACACAGTGAGAAATAGTTTCAATAAAAAAAGCTTAGTGGCTTGTGTACAACTTCCTTTCCACTCCAAAAATCAAAAGCATAATTTCTCAGACTGTCACCTACATCAGATCAGTCTTTCTAATCAATAGTTCTAATACCAGAGCATCTATGAGGAGAGATCCAGTGCTGTATGAAAAGATGGTCCCTTGGAGGCTGTGTTGCAAGAAGCTAGAATGAATGTACTCCAATTTCAGAGTCTCTAAGTCTTAACTACAAATGGAATCAATCTTTACATATTTCTACTTGCATTAAATTTATAAACCATACTAAAACTATGATTGCAGGCAGGGAAGTGATAAAATATCCACTGTCCCTGTGAAGGAGATACCTGAAACACTTCCTGGGCAGTGGGCAGATATATAGAAGAAGTTCTCAGTGGGCAGACACTGCAGTGCACATCAGGGCTGACCTCTTACAGTGAATCTGCTAGCCTCTCCCCTCTCAACAGGGTGCTGATCAGAGTCTGCTGGCAGAGTCTGCTCATTTCATGGGGTCTACCTGCCCCAAGACCTTGAAAGTAAAGACTTATTACACAGAGCCATTAGAGAGTTCCTAGAACCCCTGTGCTTCCTGACATCAACTCCAGGTTCAAGACTTCCTTGGCTCTTTCTTTTTTTATTACTTTAATTTTGAATAGCTTATTTCAGATGTCAATCCAGTTCTCTCTCTCTCCCCTCCTACCGTACCTTCCCACCATCCCCCCAGCCTCCCACCCTATCCCAACTTCCTTCCACATAAGGGATATTTAGAGTCTGTCATTTCACTCAGGGCAGGGTCCAGGCACTCCCCTAAGAGTCCAGGCTGACAGAGCATCCCTCTTTGTGTTATGGACACACGAAGTTCATTTGTATGCGAGGGATAAATACTGATCTACTTCCCAGGGCCCCATAGGTCTCCCAGGCCTCCTCACTGACTCTCACACTCAGGGGGTCTGGATCAGTCCCATGCTGTCCTCCCAGCTTTCGTTCTTGGGTTCAAGAGCTCCCCCTTGTTCAGATCAGCTGTCTCTGCTAGTTTTGCCAGTCCATTCTTTGCCAATTTGCTCTAGATCCATGTCTATTGCCTTGCACAAAACTTAAGTCCAAATGGATCAAAGACCTCAACATAAATCCAGCCACACTGAACCTCTTAGAAGAGAAAGTGGGAGATACTCTTCAACAAATTGGTATAGGAGACCACTTCCTGAACATAACACCAGTAGCACAGTATCTAAGATCGACAATTAACAAATGGGACCTCCCGAAACTAAGAAGCTTCTGTAAGGCAATGGACACAGTCAACAAGACAAAAAGGCAGCCCACAGAATGGGAAAGGATATTCACTAACCCTACATCTTACAGAGGGCTGATCTCCAAATTTTACAAAGAACTCAAGAAGCAAGTCTCCAAAACACCAAAGGATCCAATTAAAAAGTGGGCTACAGAACTAAATAGAGAATTTGCAATAGGGGAGTCTAAAACGGCTGAGAGACACTTGAGAAAGTGCTCAACATCCTCAGCCATCAGGGAAATGCAAACCAAAACAACTCTGAGATACCATCTCACTCCTGTCAGAATGGCTAAAATCAAAAACACCAAACACAATTTATGCTGGAGAGGATGTGGAGAGAGGGGAACACTTCTCCACTGCTGGTGGGAGTGCCAACTCAACTCATACACCCACTTTGGAAATCAGTATGGAGATTCCTCAGGAAAATGGGAATCAGCCTACCACAAGACCCAGCAATTCCACTCTTAGGCATATACCCAAACGATGCACATTCATATAACAAGGACATCTCTTCCACTATGTTCATAGCAGCATTATTTTTAATAGCCTCCAGTCTTTCTTAGCCCAAGACCAGTTAGCACCTCGGACAGAGACATCTCTTCTAGCCTGAGCAGGAGGTACCTGTTGGTTTGCTCTATAAGCAGGTGGAGTTCCCTTGCCTCTCATTTCCCCCTCTGTTTCCGAGAACATCGTTTCTTCCTCCAGATCCTCACTCTCCTCTGAACAGGAATCAAATACATCAGCATAATACTCTTCAGCAACAAGTGGGTCTTCTGGGATCCCTGAAATAGAGAATAAGCAACAACTGCAGTTACTGAAATCATAACTAGGTGAGCTGGGACGCTTGTGTATCCCCAGAGATTATCACTGACAAAACTTCCTCAGAGCACAGTGCTGACTCTTGGATTCCTGAAAGTGTATGCTGGATATGATCAACACTAGGCAAAACTAAGCCAGTAGAAAGAAGGACAGTCACCTTTGAAGTTAGGAGAACAGAACCACAGGACAGGAGTAAATGATCTCTTTTGTAGCTTTTACACGAGCCCTTATTAAAAACGAAGGGAGCCAGGAGAAACATAAAGATGAGATGCCACATCAAGGTCTTGTTATGCAACACACAAAACTTTGTAGCTGAGACAGTGGGAAGGAGAGTTGTGTTTGTATTCTTCTGGAAGTTCTTTTAAAGAAAGGGAGGAAAGGAGGGAGGGAGGGAGGGAAGGAAGGAAGAAAGGAAGGAAGGAAGGAAGGAAGGAAGGAAGGAAGGAAGGAAGGAAGGAAAGATCAGTAGTGAGACAAAGTAAGATGGGTAGGATATTTCACAATGACATTTGGCCAAACGGAGTAGGATATCACAACTCTTTTCTAACAAGCTATGAATTCGGGCTTTGCAAGTGGAGTATGTTACGGTAGGCTATATTCACATCCATATAGGGCATTTATTTAAAATAAAAAAGAAAAGGGAAGATTATCCATGAATTTTTTTTTCTGCTGAGTAGAACTCCATTGTGTAAATGTACCACAGTTTCTCTATCCACTCTTGAGTTGAGGGGAATCTAGGTCACTTCCAGGTTCTGGCTATTACAAATAATGCTGCTCTGAACATATTCGAACAGACATCTTTGTTGTATGAATGTGCATCTTTTGGGTATATGCCTAAGAGTGGAATTGCTGGGTCTTGTGGTAGGCTGATTCCCATTTTCCTGAGGAATCTCCATACTGATTTCCAAAGTGGGTGTATGAGTTGAGTTGGCACTCCCACCAGCAGTGGAGGAGTGTTCCCCTCTCTCCACATCCTCTCCAGCATAAACTGCTTTGGTGTTTTTTATTTTAGCCATTCTGACAGGAGTGAGATGGTATCTCAGAGTTGTTTTGATTTGCATTTCCTTAATGGCTAAGGATGTTGAGCACTTTCTCAAGTGTCTCTCAGCCGTTTTAGATTCCTCTATTGAGAATTCTCTATTTAGTTCTGTAGCTCACTTTTTAATTGGATCTTTTGGTGTTTTGGAGACTTGCTTCTTGAGTTCTTTGTAAAATTTGGAGATCAGCCCTCTGTCAGATATGGGGTTAGTGAATATCTTTTCCCATTCTGTGGGCTGTCTTGTTGACTGTGTCCATTGCCTTACAGAAGCTTCTTAGTTTCGGGAGGTTCCATTTGTTAATTGTCTGTGCTACTGGTGTTATGTTCAGGAAGTGGTCTCCTATACCAATTTGTTGAAGAGTATCTCCCACTTTCTCTTCTAAGAGGTTCAGTGTGGCTGGATTTATGTTGAGGTCTTTGATCCATTTGGACTTAAGTTTTGTGCATGGTGATAGCCATGGATCTATCTTCAGTCTTCTACATGCCAATATCCAGTTATTGCCAGCACCATTTGTTGGAGATGCTTTCTTTTTTCCATTGTATAATTTAAGCTTCTTTGTCAAAAATCGAGTGTTCATATGTGTGGGGGTTAAAATCAGGGTTTTCAATTCAATTCCATTGGTCTACCTGTTTATTTTTATGCCAATACCAAACACAAGAAAGTGAATGAGTAAATAAATAAAAGAGGTGGAGAAACTTGGGATGGAGGGGAAGGAAGAGGCAATGAGAGAACAGACAATTCTGACAGAGAGATGAGGGTTCAGGGTGTGGTGGGGGAAGGGACCAAGGGGCAGTTATGTGGGAAGCCTGTAGCTGTCCACCAGACCTCTCAACACAGGCTCCTACTTGGTGGTGAGGCCAGAGACCCTGAGACAGATTTTGGTTCTCACGTATTTCTCATGCTATGGCACAGCTCATTCCAGCTCATCCCATCTGGGTTGAAATGACTGAGTGTATAAGCCCTATCCTAAGAACTGTCAAAGACTGTTGGGAATATATGCAATTTTTGTCATTGAGCTAATTTTAATCCCACTCTGTAGCCTCTTGGTTTTTTTCTTCTTTTAAAATTTATTTTCTGTATTTTATTTTTTATTATTTTTACATTGCAAGTCCAGTTTCCCTTCCCCCCACATCCCCACCTCCCCTCATCTCCTTCCCAAGTCTCTCCACCTCTTTTATTTATTTATTCATTCACTTTCTTGTGTTTCCCCCCATCTGCTCTCCCCCTTTCATCTCCTCTTTCCCTCTTTGACTTTCAAACTTTATTGTTACATAGTAACATTATTGCCAGTTTGCAGGGGTGTGTTTATGTGTGTACACACATAAAATCTTAAGGATTAAAACTGAGTTTTTAGGAATAAAGATTTATCCATTCAAACTACATGTGACACTTTGGTATTTTCCATTCTAGTCAGTCTTTCAAAATGCTGTTTGCAACTCACAAAAAGTGACTTCTCATTTCACAGCTTGACACTCACTGTTTTAGGATGCTGCCTTCTGCGTCAAAAAGATCCACATGTATATCAAGACCAACAGTGGTTCCACGGCACTGGGTACCATTTTAACTCTGTGCATTCCATTTTCTCGTCTATAAAGCACAGGTGATTATCTGCTCTGGGATTATTGTGAACAATCAATAGTATAACAGAAACACGGTATTATGCACCATGTTATGGGACACTCCTCACTAATATTTGCTGCTATTGGAAGCTGTACAGTGTGGCAAACATCTTGGTTTTGCCCATTAATACCTTACATCAGGAAGATATATCAGACAATCATAATCATATACCAAATGTGAAATGTTCCTTATTATATTCAGTCTATATGGATTTTCAGAACTGACTCAAAGGCCCAGTAAGGAATGATATCCCATTGGTTTTCTTCCTGCTGGCCTCCACAGGGACACAAGGGCACTTTATTCTCTCCCATCATTTTCCTGGTCCACAAAGGTGCTAAGTTCTCTTCCAACAGCTTAGGAAGACATGGGATTCAACAGTAAAAGGTAAGTTAGTCAAATTGTCGACTTCATAGGTTTATAGTCTTTATTGTAGTTATTTGACTGCTTTGAAGACAATCAATATTCAAATGAAGAATGTGGCTGTGTTTCAATAAACCTGGCCAGGTCATATCTGTACCACCCAGACATTTTCCTCTTGAAAGAACAAACAAACAAAAAACGAAACCAAAACAAATTTTTAAAAAATCTCCCTCTTCCCATAACAGGGCTCACTGTGCACAAAGAGCCGTAGTTCCTTGCCCTCTTAAACCTAAGATCTCTTCAGAACGACAAGAACATCATGGGGCAGGATTTGTTTCCTGTGCGTGGCTCTGGGAAGACTGGGATGACTCCATCTACAGTGTCTCCTGAGTATACCTCAATCTTGGTGCTGCTTAGAAATGGAATTGTTTTCAAAACAGAAAATCAAAACACATGTAAGCCTGCTCCAACTGTGTTTATCAAGCTGCGTGTTTTTTTGTAGTGAGCCCAATTTGAAGCCTTGTTCAGCTAAGGCTCATTTCCCCTGTCACTGGAAGAAAAACAGACTGTGATAAATAGCTTTAATTTCCTCACACCCTGAAGTCAGTCTCTTCACAGATGCAGCTGGGATGGCATTCCAGATTTCTTCTATGCTAAGTGCACAGTAACAGGGCAAACTCATGAAGGAGTCTAGTAATGACTGCCCATGCTTGGACACCAATGTTGCAAATGCATGCATAGGGAGAGAAGTTATCACCTAGTTCCACAGAAAGGGTGACCTTTGTCACTCTTCAGCCAAGACCTAGATAAATCCCTTTTAAGAAGGCTGAGTACTGTGGTCACCTATAGAACTTATTAACACACAGTACAAGGTACTGTGTGTTACTACTGATTTGGTAGTTCTGGGTAGCATTTGAGAGTGCTGTTTTACTTATTCAGTGTGTGTGTGTGTGTGTGTGTGTACACGCAGGTGACTTCCAAGGCCAGAAGCTGCTTGATGTCTTGGAGCAGGAGCTAATAGTTGGTTGTGAGTTACACAACATGGGTGCTAGGAACTGAACTTTGGTCCTTTGCAAGAACAACAAGTACTCTTAGCCTCTGAGCCATTGTGGGGACACCAGACCTTGAGCAGAAACCCACTTCCCCTTTGGCCTGGGAGCAGGCAGCTGTGAGATAATGTTTACTGAAAACAATTCAGTGCTATAAAGCTCTTGATAGGGTTCAGATAAGGGCTTGCTCACTGAAACACCATGACTTTGACACCCCCTAAGGCTAGATGCTTCTTCCTGTTCCCCCTGCTGTTTCTCCCCAGATTCTGGGGCTGAAGATTAAACCACCAGCCAGGAGGGTGAGAAGTCTGGGAGAGCTGTTGGAGAATTGTATGTAGATGGATGGCAGAAGTCTTTAAAAAGGGAAGAGTTTTTTCTTGGGAGCGATCCTAAGCGAACTTGGGGTCTCCTCCTAAGCTGACTGGGGAAGCATAAAGTTTTCTTAAAGCAACCGACCGGTCTCTGTGTCATCTATCCCGACCACCTCGCTACATTCTCGGATGCAGGCTGCACAGCAGGTGCGACAAGCCATCTCCAGCCCCACAAGTTACATTTCTAAGAAGTTCCAATCTGATGGGGGATGCTGTTGGTCTAGAGGCTACATCCAAGAACCACCACTCAAATAAAATTCCTATCTTGTACTGCAAGGATCACCTTAATAAAAGACCTGTAATCCTATACTAGCTCCACATCTCCCGATCTTTGTATGTTAAAGACAAAACATGAATGGAAGCAAACTACTTTTGAAGAGCTAAAACTGTGCTATCAGACACTTCAATTGCTTCTGATCTCTATGTCAATATAAACAATGACACAGTTGCTAATTTGTTAACAGGGACACAGAATGGAAAGGTGAGCAGCCCAAAGTTAGTTTTTATGTCAAACACTGTGCAA